TACTTAGTGGTTGAAAATCAGGAAAGATGTGTGACAGGGTTGTATCCTCTCAACATACTTATTCGATCTGTATGCTAAGCAAATAATCAGAGAAGTTGGATTATATGAAGAAGAACGAGGCACCATTTGCTGAAAGTGAGGAAGACCTGAAGCATTTACTTAAGAAGATCAATTAATCAATATGGATTACAACTCCATGTGAAAAAAACAAAAATCCTTCCAACTGGACCAGTAGGTAACATCATGATAATCAGCGAAAAGGTTGAATTTGTCAAGAATTTCATCTGGCTTGGATCCACAATCAATGTTCATAGGAGTAGCAATCAAGAAATGAAAGCTTGCATTGCATTGGGTCAATCTGCTGCACAAGACCTCTTTCAAGTGTTGAAAAACAAGGATGTTACTTTGAGAACTAAGGTGAGCCTGACCCAAGCCATGGTATTTTCAGTTGCCGCATATACATGGGAAAGTGGGACATTGAAAATACCATGGACTACCAAAAGAACAAACAGATCTGTCTTAGAAGAAGGACAACCAGAGTGGTCCTTAGAGGCAAGGATGGTGAGTCTTCATTTCATGTACTTTGGACATATTAACAGGAGAGACCAGTCCCTGGAGAAGGACATCATGCTTGGTAAAATAGAGGGGCGGCGAAAAAGAGGAAGGACCTCAATGAGACAGGTTGACACAATAGCGGCAACAATAGGCTCAAACAGAACCACAGTTGTGAGGCTGGCACAGGACCGGGTGGTGTTTCGTTGTGTTGACCTAAGACTGACTCAATGTCACCTCACAGCAACAACAGCAACAACTCCAGACCTTCAGCACTGGACGCAGGGCGATCTGGGTCTTCTGCTATCATCACGAAAGTAGGAGTTGCGTTTCTAGTTCCTCCTCTGTTAATGACTGCCTTCTTTACCAGAATAATCTTTCTGTGTGTTTCCACAATGCAGCGGCATCATGAATCTGTACCATTCCATTGTTTGGCTTTCCTTCATCTTGATGGATGATACAGGTGCTACAACCTTTGCCAAGTCATCTTTCGTGTGTCATTCCCTGGCACCAACTGCATCAAGTTTATTGTGCAACCATCACCAAGATCTTTTGCCAAATGTTCTATTTCAAGAGTATTTTTAGCAAAAATAACAACATATCCATCTCTTAACAGAGCAATCTTTCAACTTGGGAATTTGTTTCATTGATACAATTAATAGCAATTGATCTACATCCTGAGCATGGGAAAGTACGCAAACAAAAACAACTTCTTTGGGCCTGTATTTTCAAAACATTGCTGAAGAATATCTTGTTCTTGTAATATGAGCTGTCAAAATAGCATGCCTCTGATTTGCTTCATCCATAGAAAATGAATCCAAGATTCCCTAGAGGAATCTCTTTATTTTTCGGGTCTCCTGCTTATTTGTAATTATGTGGCCCTGTCATCATGTATGAACAGACACCTTTCTCAATTTCCATTAATAAGTGGATGGCAGGCGGAGTGGAGTTTTCAGTGACAGTGCCTTTCTTATTTTGTTGATTTCATCACCTTTATTTTTGAACGTTCTAGAGGTTTTCCATTTTTTTAGAACAGGTGATATATTTATGTTCTCATGGTCTGGTTGAGTTAGTGTTGACCCTGACCACAGGTCAGCAGGGTTTGAACTGCTCACCACCAGCTGCTCCGCAGGAAAAAGATGAGTCTGTGTGTCTGGGTAAAGATCTACAGCCTCAGAACCCTCTCATGGTGTCTCTGTGAGTCAGAGTTGGGCAGAGAGGTTACCTTGGTCTTAGATATTTATGACATTCAAAATCACAAAGAGAGGGAGTGAAAGCTGTCCCTTTCACCTCTGTCCCCCAGTCACCCACTTCTCAACTCACTACACTGCCAGATGCATGATCACTTGTATATTCTCCTGGGTTTTTTTTTTTTATTATACATACAAAGTCCCGTTCTGTATTTTATTGTTTTGCTTTAAGTTAATCACTTCTCTTGTAGATCTTCTTATATTAGTACATAAAGGATGCTATATAATCTTTTATAGCTACATACTCTTCCATTAATCTGCAGATCTTCTGTAATTTCCGTAACCTTTTCCTATCAGTGGACATAAATGGACAAGGTCTTATTCGTATATCAATATCATTTTGTGCTTTTACAAGTATATCTCTTGAATATCCTTGGAGAATTTACAAGCCATTCCCACTCTGTCTTGTGACTCGTCCCTGAGTCAAATCTTGTCCAGCCTGCTCTTCTCAACATGAGCTGTCGCAGTACATTTCATCGAGAGTAAAACTAGAACCTGCCACCCCAAGGGGATCCACCTCTTGTCGAGGCAGCAGAGCCTGAGTTCCGTCTAGGGAATGGCAGACTGCGCAGAGAAGCTCATCTCTGGAGCCGTGTGTGTTTTCTTAGCAGTCGGTGCCACAGGGAGACCCACGTGGGATATTAGAGAGTCCACAGAGAGTTTCTATGATCCATCCACTTTGCAGACCAACCAGTGAGATTGTTGTGTGCAGAGTAGGGCAGAATTAGGTTCTAGATCTCTGTCATCTTCTTTAGTAAAGTAAATAGCTTTCTCACACTCAAGTTATCACGAGCTTCTCAAATTTACTACTGCTGAGAGCTTCTATGGGTCTAGCGGTTCCCACAGTGATGCCCAGCTGGAAATGGCTGAAGGGCTACCTCTCGTCTCCCTTTTTTCATTTGGGATGGTAGGATCAAGCCTTGCAGGTGGAAGGTAAATGCTCTTCCAGCCATGCACGCTCAGAAAGAGGAGACTACACTGTCCTCCCTGAGGTTCTCCCACCACACTGTGACATCGATGTGAAGCATTCTCCGTACCTTGTGCACGCAAAGCAGCCCAGCCCCAGTAACACCCTGCCAGGCGGGTCTATGCCCCCCAATCAGAATGTCCCCCATCCCTTGCCGTGCGGCTGTCAGATCAGGATTCTCCCTTGGAGTCCCTGTGCTGCCAGGCCCACAGGAATGTCCCAGCCTGCCCAGCAACCACAGGACCACCCAGAGGTTCCCACCACCACACTGGACTGGCTTGTCCAGAGGAAAAGGAAAAACAAGTCCAGTCCTTTCTTAGATCATACTGGCCCATCGCCTCCCATGCATTTTTCATGGCTCTTTTAAAATCAATTAAATCTGAATAAATCAATACAGATTTGCCTCGGACCTTTGGAAGGGACCCACCAGCTTCTAGCTTTTCTTCCCTGGCACCAGCCAGCCGACGTTTTCAATGGCTTCTTCTGTTCCGGCCTCATTCCTGGCCAGCTGGCCAGGGCGGCCCTTGGCCCATCTCTGCACCATCCCTCTCTGTTATCCTGTGCCCTCCCATGTCTATGCCTCTTTATCTTGGTGGCCAACCCCATGGCCACTCAGCCCCACTGTCTGCACGCACAGGTGTGCTTCTGGAACAGACTCAGCTCACCAGATGGGGCTGTGCAGCCAGCCCTAGTCTGAAATAGACTTTGCATCGTAGCTTGGCACGGAAAGGAAATCTTCAGGGGTGATGAGGGCATTCCAGACAAATGTCCATGGAGAAAACCCAAACACTGAACTCACTGCCACCGACTCAATGCCGACTCACAACGACCCTGGGGGACAGGGCAGAACTGCCCCTGTGAGTTTCTGAGACTGCAACTCTTGACAGGATTAGAACGCCCCACCTTTCTCCCTTGGAGGGGGTGGTGGTTTCAAACTGCTGACCTTGCAGATGGGAGCCCAATAAGTAACTGCTCTGCCCCCAGGGGCTGTTTAAGGCACAGAATCAGGGAATCACAATCGATGCCCCCCCCCCCACACACACACACACACCTGCTCTGGGGGGATTGCTTAGGGAAGTGGGTCGCAGAGTAGCACACCATTTGATAAAGGGGTGCAGGGACTAGCTGCCCCCACATGTCCAGTCCCCTCTATGCTGGCCACAGCACTCAGGTGACCTTTGGGGATCCCAGGGAGGCTCGACATCCTCATCAACCTATGAAGCTGACTAGATAAGATACTCTCTCTCCCTATGCCCCCTGGGAAGAGAGACAGAGGAGGTATGGGGAGGCCCAGTAGGAGAATTGTTAAAAACAGTGTGGAGGGGGTGGGGTAGGGGTGAGTTGGGGGGAGGGTGGCTTAGTGTTTGGCCCTCCGGAGGATTTTCCTGGCTTGCTCAGAAAGCTATGAATCATTTATGATTGTTTTCATTTTGTATTCAAAAGGCCTCTGCACTATTATTATGGAAGCTTAATTGAGCAGGCACTGGGCACTGCCTCTGCCAGCCCCTGCTCTTCCCTCTGCTGTCAGAAATGCCAAGGGTAGGAGTGTAGGGCCCAGAGGTGCTGCTCAGGCATCTCCCCGAAGATCAATGGGGTGGGTTCGCACTCCGGGCTTCTCTCTGATCATGTATTCATTGGGGTGTCTCCTCAGGCTTTAGCTCTGCCTCCCCACCACTGACCTCCTCTCAGCTCCCTGGCGTCCCGGAGCCCTCTCTGTTTTCTCAGTCTCCAGAGAACCTGCCCATGAGCTCTCCCTCGCTTGGCCTTGGCTCCGTGCCTGACCGTGCATACACCGTGCGAGCTCCACTGGGCAGCGAACCAGCAACAATACACACTGACCTGATTTACTCCTTTTAATGCACTTCAGTGTGATTCTAACTGCATAAAAGAGAGGACCAATTGGCAAGTAATTATGATGTTAATTTGGCAGTGCTTTATCATATTGTCATTGTATTGTGGGGACACGTTGGTCCACCGTCCAGCTTACTGAGGGTTCCCAGGGATGGGAATGAAATACACAGGAGACTGGAGAAGCGCTCTTCTCCCCAGAAATGGGCCTTTGTTTGCATATGTTCTGAGGCTTCTGTAACAAGCGAACACGTTTCGCCAGGCCTAATGAATGGAATGCCACAGAATGTATAATTAGGCAGCGGCAGCCTCCACTCATGGGTGCCTTTGGATTTGGGAACTGGAGATGCGCTCGTTCAAAGGGCGGGATGCTTCCCTTGCAGAATCTCACCGGCTGCGTGTGTCTAACCACCGTCCCAGCTGAGAATGCCACTGTGGTGCCCGGGAAATGCCCCAGCCCTGGGTGCCAGGAGGCCTTCCTCACCTTCCTCTGCGTGATGTGCGTCTGCAGCATGATAGGCGCGATGGCCCAGACCCCCTCCGTCATCATCCTCATCAGGTGAGTGTGCCAGCCCACCCTGTCTGCTGGCTGTGTCTGCCTTTCCCCTTGCGAGCGGGATCACAGCGAGGACCCCAGCCTCCCCCCGCCCATCGGAAGCAATTCTCTTGGTGTACGCAGTTCAGATGTGCTCAGCTGCTAAGAGGCTAGATTCAGGTGCACCCAGCGACGCCTCAGAAACCTCAGAAGAAAGATCAGCCTCTGCAAATCAGCCTTCGGAAACCCTCTGTAGGCCAGTTCCAGTCCGACCCGTGTGTGCCTTCCATGGACTGGTGGGGACTCAGTGGCCCCTGGTTTGGTTCTCTCTCCCGGGACCTCTCACCAAGAGGAGCAAGCAGGGCTCAAAAGCGAAGACAGCACTGTCATGTCCTACCAGAAGAGACTGGACAGGTGTTTGGGAAAGGGAGGGTGGTTCCCAGAGTAGCATGGTTGGAGCAAAGGAATTGAGGCATTGGACTCACTGTTCACAAGTTCTGTTGCCCAGCCTGCCTGTCCGGCCACGCTTCAGCCCTCTGGCCTTGGACTTGTCAATTCCCCTGGGACTTGTCTCTAAATCAGCAAATGGTGGTGATGCTTCGGTTTGTGCCTGCCTCCTGGAGTGGCATGGGACCAGGGAGGCTGTGGGAGGGCGAGGGCATAAGACAATGGAGAGGGGAAGCCATCCCCCCATAGCCCCGTGTCTCTCAGGACCAGCCCCAGGACAGGCAAGATGCCTGGGGATGAGTCATTGAATCTTGCTCTGAGTAACCTTTACCATTTCCAAAGTCATCTCAAACTCTGCGCGGAACTTCTCAGAGTGAACAGCCAGCCTTTGGGTTAGCAGGCCATTGCTCAACTACCATGCCATCAAGTTCACTAAATGACCCAGGCCTAAGCCAGCACACATCCTTGAGACCCATGCTCATGTGACATGCAGCCGAGGAGGCCAAGGCAGCACCTCTCCCTTTGGGTTAGCGGGCCATTGCTCAACTACCATGCCATCAAGTTCACTAAATGACCCAGGCCTAAGCCAGCACACATCCTGGAGACCCATGCTCACGTGACGTGCAGCCGAGGAGGCCAAGGCAGCACCTCTCCCTTCTCCTTCCCAGGTTCACCTGCCATGGTAGGCATCCCAGGCAGGCCAAGAGCATGTCGAGCAGCCTGTGCCACAGCCCAGCTGTGTGCCAGCCCATGCCCAGTCCCAGGTGAGGTGCTCACACTCAGCTTCCCTGCAGCTCTGACAAGCCCATGCACAAGGGAGCAAAGCACTCCTTTGTCCTGCACCATCTCCATGATTGCTTGTGGATCAGGCGATTGGGACACATGGAGAGGTTTCATCAGCCTCTTTTTCAAAAGTAGATCAAACAGACCTTTCTTCCTTGTCCCTGGAAACCTGCTCAACGTCATAGCCACACGCTGGTCTCCACTGACCGATGGACAATGCCTGGGACAAAGGCTATGCATGGGAGACTCAGCGCGAGTTAAATTGGGCTTCTTGCATGGAAGATGAGCGTGTTACCACTGAGCCATCAAAGCCTCACTCCCAGGCAGACCTGAGCCCTCCTGATGTCGGTGTGTACGACGGAAGGTAAACTCTCATGTCATCCACGTCCACAGGAAGAGCCAGCACCGGGCTCTTATTTCACTTGACTGCATTTCCATTTCTGTTAGTGTTATACCCCGGTTAGAGATTGGGGACATGGTGAGTCAGAGGAAGATTAAACCGTTTGCTCAAGCTCGTAAGTGATGGAAGCAATGCCCCATCCCTGGGCTTCCCTGGGGCTTTGGACAGCATGCAGATCTGACTTTGCCTCTTCCCCCTAACTCCATCCAAGGCTTACTGTTCCTGCCAGGACCACTTTCCCAAGGGGATCTGAAGAGAGATCTTAGCACAGTGTTCACATTGTTCCTTGGACATTACACCCCCACCCCCACCCCCAAACGAACAAATTTGCTGCCATCCAGTTGGTGGCTGACTCCACGTGACCCCCCTGGGCAGGGTAGGTCTGCCCTGTGAGTTTCTGAGCCTGTAACTCACTTGTTCAAGGAGTAGAAAGCCCAGTCCTTTTCCCAAGGATCAGCTGGTGATTTTGAATTGCTGACCTTGTGGATTTCAACCCATTGCGTAACCTCTGTGCCACTCCAGTTCCTATGGACATGATAGCGAAGAGGAAGTCAAATTTCAGGTGATAAATATTCTAGGTCATGACACCAGCATGCTTTTTTGATAAGGAGGTTTGGCCTTTATGTACGTGTCTCTCAAGCCAATACATTCGAATGAATGAAAAGGGAAAAAAAGAACCGAAGGAGCCAACGATGGCTTTGAAGAGCATGAGTTTTGTCACGTGCACATTGTAAGGACCCACCTTCCTGGGCAGACAGGTTTGAGATTATTCCGGGGTCTGGCTTAGTTAGCTTGACAATGGCTTTCCCCTCCCTCCGTGGGAGAGCTGCCCTGCTGCCCCGGGATTGCTGCCATTCAGTGCCGCCCCATCCGTTCTGACCAGCGTGACCAGCAGAAGGCAGCACTGCCCAGTCCAGCCTCACCCTCACAATTACTGCTATAGCCATGCCCGTTCTTCAGCCACGCTGTGAGCCCATCCCTTTAGCGACCATGCTCTTTTTCCCTGAGCCTCTCCTGTGGTGCTGGGATGACTTACCTCTCTTATACTCATTGGAGCCCTGGTGTTGTCATGGTGACCCATTGGGCTGTGATCCGCATGATCGGCAGTTCGAAACCACCAGCAGCTCTAAGGGAGAAAGACTGGGCTTTGGACTCCCATGAACAGTGACAGTCTCAGAAACCCACAGGGAGTCGCTATGAGTCAGCGTGGACTGGATGGCAGTAACTTTGGTTTGGCATTATCAGACTCTTTATAATTGAAAAAAAAAAAGTGTGGTTCCCTAAGAAGAGCACACCCGTAGCTTTTCCTGAGAATTTCAGGAATGCGGGCAAAGATCATCGGGAAAACTATATCCCTCTACTCTTGGTTCAGCAGCGTCTTTGCCCCCCCACCCTTACTGTTTTGTTATTGCGTGCCGTGGAGTGAAAAACAGAGATAAACCCACTGTAAGCTCAAACCAGGCAGTAGGTCATTGGATGGATGTTTGGGGATAGTTGGGATGGACTGATACTATTAAAACATTGAAATCCCATTGGTAATTTGACTTCTAACATTTATTTTCTACGGTATTACTTGCTAGGCTTTCCCTGGGTCATGTTGCTCTTTCAAGTCTCATAGCCATGCTCAAATGCCTCTGTTTGTTCCAGAAGGCTCAGCCACATCAAAGCTGTGTCTGAGTCTAAGCAAATACTTGCCAGGGCTGCACTTGTGTACTTAGCTTGCCCATTCCTCTAGATCAGCGGTTCTCAATCTTCCTAATGCCACGACCCTTTTCTACAGTTCCTCATGTTGTAGTGGACCCCCCAACCATAAGATTATTTTTGTTGCCACTTCATAACTGTCATTTTGCTACTGTTATGAATTGGGCAACCCCGTGAAAGGGTCGTTTGGCCCTCAAAGGGGTCATGACCCGCAGGTTGAGAACCACTGCTCTAGGGGCTCATGATGGGAATTGGATTAGAGGCAGTTCCGTGCCAGTAGTACATGAAGTACATGAGCATGGCTGTGATCATAGATCTCCCTCCTCACAGTCCTTCACCATCGAACCATCAATAAACCTGCCCGATGTCACAAGTGGGAGGCCTAGCCTGCCCATCCATCCCAGTATAATCTTACTCAGCGCATGCTATATCCCAGACACTATCCTGGTGTATGAAATTACTATAGCGAGTAATTGTGGCATAATGGACTATGCACAGACTTGGGAACCGCATGGTCCAAAGTTCACACCCACCAGCTCCTCTGTGAGAGAAAGATGAGACTGTCTATTCCTGTAAAGTTTTAAAATCTCAAACCCAAAGGGGCAGTTCGCCCCTGTCCCACAGCGTCACTATAAGCCAGAATGGAATTGATGGCAATGAGTTTGTTTTCTGGTCTATGACTAGGAAGATACAAATAGTCCCTGTTCTCAAGAAGAGAAAGCAAGCGTTAATTTCAAGCATAAGAGACAAGTTCTTGTTACCGAGTGTGTGGCCCCTCAGCACTCCCTAATCAGACAAGAAAGACCCATGTGATTCAGGGAAGACTTAGCAATAAGTTCTGTGGAAAATAAACTTTAAATTATGTTCCCAACATCATTCAGTACTGTAGTGGGCTAAATTTTGTCAGTCATCCCAACCATCCAGCAGCATCTAACCAGTGACTAGCAATCTGGTTTGTGCTTCTGATCAGTTTGCCTTTGGTTGTAACTGGCCAGCCTACATGAACAGCTCACCAATGGTAAACCAGCGAAATAGCTCCACTGCAGCCCTTGCGATTTCAGAAAGCAGTGCACCTGAGAGTCTGCTCAAAGATGTCCCACAAGACCCTTCTAAGGGACCACTCTAGGGTAAGCCAAGGCCGGAGAGATTGAATTCAGTTCAAAATAAAGAATTAAGACACCAACAGTAACTTTCCCATTTACAATTCTTGAAGCCCCCCCACCCCAGTTTGTAAAGCATGTGCATACCGTCTTATTTGGCCTGTAGGAAAGAGAGTATATGAATTACCCCCATTCAACCAATGCGGAAACTGAGACTAGAAGCAGTCACTGGCGTCCACTTCCAGCAAACACTGGTTTAAATGCTTCATATGTTTCAATGGACTGTTTAAATGTATGTAGGCCTTACAATAACTCTAAAAGGTAGGGACTGATTTGATCTTTATTTTACAAACATGGAAATGGAAATGGAAGTCCAATCAAGTCACATTCGTAGCCTGAGGTCATGTACTGACTTTGTTATCAATTGGCGCTGCAGTAGGAATGGCGCGCATGGTTGGCTTTATGTTAAGGTGACCAGACGTCCCGCTTTTGGCAGGACAGTCCCAATTTTTAACCATTTGCCCCACGTCCACAGTGTTTTTAAAAAATCCCAATTTTTGGAAGAATGCACAACAAGCTAGGGTATACGGTGTTCGGCTGCCATGTGGCTATTTCACCAGGATATGAGTTTTATCAATGGTGTCCCGCTTTACCAATGTTAAAATCTGGTCACCTTACTTTATGTTCTTGTGCTCTGTTTGTGTGAGAGTAGGCCCTTTGGCCTCCCTGTTCCTTTTCCCTGCCTGCCTACATATCCACTTACAGATTCGTGTTTACACACAGACACACAAAGATTCGTGTTTACACACACGCAAACACACAGATTCATGTTTACACACACACACAGATTCGTGTTCACACACACACACACACACACACACACAAAGAGTCGCTCCAATGGTGAAGCCACTATGAACTGCCCAGCCTCGCCTCGCCATTGCAGTTGTAGCTCTTTTCTCTGAATGGAGGGAGGGAGGGAGGAAACAAAGAAGGGCTGGAATCCGCAGGGTGGGACATACCTTCCAGATGAGTTCATGACGGTGAGATGATAAGAGTCTTTTTTTTCCCCTCATCTCTTCGCTCCTAGGACAGTCAGCCCGGAACTCAAATCTTACGCCCTGGGAGTTCTGTTTCTTCTCCTTCGCCTGCTGGGTATGTATTATTCCTTCATTCCCTCCATAACGAGGCAAATGCTTATTACCAGGTGAGTCAACATCAGGGAACTAGTTCCATGTCTTGGGTTTGTTTTGATTTTTCTATGAAGTTCTATTATCTGTAAACAAGTTGACTCTGCCTTAGACCTGAACTCAGGCAGTCTCTACCCGAAAGTGCTTCAAGGTTGCATTCATACCCACTCTCCCTTCATCCGGACCTGCTGCTCAGTGACATAAAGAGGAAAATCGATGACAACAGAAGGGGAAACCCCTGACACCCTTGTCAAGGCACCCAAGAGCAGCCTGTGAAATGCTTCACTTCGGGAGCTGCCAGTGGGAGCGAGAGGGGTCTTCTCACATGGCCTGCAAACAGAAGTGCTTTGCAGCCTTGCCCTTTCCCCACACTCATCCGCTGTATTTGCCTTGGCTTTCCCGGATTGAGTGC